ATGGCCCCCGCTGTTTTCTGGGATGGGTTCCTCGCTGCACAGGCAGCGAAAATGGCCACCCTATGGAGGATCTTCACTGGACGGTGAGTTTCCAGCCCATCGGAGCGCATTAAACGGGTTTTAATGCATTTCTATGGGCTTTTAAATTTCGCTTTGCGACGTTTTCATTCTACAGCGATTTTGCTGGAACGAATTAACATCGTAATGTGAGGCACTGCTGTACTATTTGGACTGTTAGAAGAGTGAAGTTTGGCAAAGAATTTAGCAAAGGTGTTATGAATTTTGCATATATCATACCAGAAAAATAACCTGACTCTGTTCTAATACATGAAAATTTATTTATTTATTTAGAATAAACTGTGCTAACATTTTATACTTTTATTACTAAACTCATAAAATCTTTATCTGATAAACTGCATATCCCTAGTAATGCTGTTGATATTTAGAGACTGAAGTCCTGCTTTCTTCCTGTTAAGTTCTCTTAATGTAGAAGCATCTTTTCAGACATTTATGTTTCATTTCTACAAATTTGATTTCATGAAGAAGTTGACTTCTTAATGCAGCTTGTTTTTAATACATTTTGCCCTAGCTATTGCCTTCATTGTATCCCACAATGTGTTGATCACATTGGTTAATTACATGGAAAATTTTGTTTCTCAAAAAACAGTTGCCCCCAACAGTGACTACATGTTTTGCACTATATCTCTAGTTTTAGAAAGGATAGAGGGTCTTTTCTTTTCTTTTTTTAATTAAAGCTTAGAATCCAATCCATTTGATTGGCTAACTAGGCACTGGCTGGTGTGTCAAAAATCTGGTAAAACCCAGCCAATCAGGTAATATGGCAACCTCATCCTTGGAGTCCTTTGCAGAAGCACAGTCCAATGATTCAAAATTTTAAATGACCCAGAAAGCTTGATATTGTTGTAAGAGACTCTTCCATTTTCTGCAAGAAACAGTAACTAGGCAATAAGAGAACAGATGACAAGAGCAGGGCTAAAAGAATTTAAAATGGAAAGTTGAGGATATAATAACAATTTCCAGCTACAGCCCCAACATTCAAATCAAATCATACAATTTAAATAGATTAATCATTCTAACTACCTGATTAATAGTGAAGCTCTAACTTAAACACTATTAATTGAACTTTAGCAGATACATGATTACTTGATTGCTTTTAAAAATGTTTTCAAATACTCAGGTGCCTCAAATGAATAATTTATATTTTCTTAGCTTTCAGTTCCACCAATTAAACCTGCTTTAACTTAATCTGTTTCTTTTTATCATGTTTGGAATGGAAATCATGGAAGCTGGCACAGCTATTTGATGAAGTGCTGTCTGCATGTCAGACACATGTCTGGTTGTGTACTCAGTTGCTCACCCAGCATGCACTTGTCAATAAGCCATGTGAGTTTCCACAATTTCCCTTTCATGTTCAGTAAAAAACTACCAGTGTGATGTAGCAGCTAGAATGATAAACTAGTATTCAAGAGGTTCAAACACCCTGCTCAGCTATGAAAACTCACTGGGGGATGATGCTGGTAGAACGCAGATACCTCACATAATCACATGAGATATTGAGGATACTTTAAATAACTCACATACCTTGAAAACACTGAAGCTGGATGTGACTTGAGGACACATGGCACAGAAAAGCACCACATTACTGACATTAACTGATGAATTTGGCCCTTACATTAATTAAACCCTGCAGACCTTAAAGAAAAACAAAACAAAGAAAAAAACCACAAACCAAAACAAACCAAAGAAAGCAATGGCCAAAATTTTATTGCAGATTTAAACAGATGCAGGCTTCACTGTGTGAAGTGCAGCAACAAATTACTGCTAATTAAGCAACCGCTGCTTGCATTCCTAATAAGCATGTCCAGCTTGTTTTAGGGCATGTTCAGTTACTGCAGATTTTTCCGGTTGTTTTAGTCTGCAGTGTCTCTCGTGTTCTTTGATTCTGATGTGAATGCTGCGTTTTGTGGTTCCAATATATGCCTGTCCACAACTGCAAGGTATCCGGCATACTCCTGCAGTGGTGAGGGGGTCCCTTTTATCCTTTGCTGACCGTAACATTTGTTGTATTTTTGTGGTGGGTCTGAATACTGGTTGTTGGGTGTGCTTTTTCAAAAGTTTTCCCATGCGGTCAGAGACCCCTTTGATATATGGGAGAAATACTTTATTTGTGGGTGGCTGTTTTTCCTCTTCAGTTTGGTGTTGTTTTCTTGGTTTCATGGCTCTTTGGATTTCATTCATGGATATGAAATTCTATTTCAAGATGCTCAAGTACTGGACAACACTGTAATCATGTTAGACTGCACAGGGAAGCCATTGAAATCCATAAACATCAACAAAACTTCAACAAAAAGGAAGAAGGCCTGGCTCCGAATATTGAAAAATACAGCCTGTAAAAGGTCAATGAACTCTACCCAGCCACAAGGACCAGGGATCATTGCACAAAAAAGACCGGCTAATGACACCCATCAATCACAGTAACAGATAATCTCTCCCCTCTTGTCACAACAAAAAACACGGTGATCACCCTATTTCCTGAAAAAAGACAAAAGCTGTTCCCACAGCTATAAATACTCAACTATCCAAGAAACAGCAACAGAATACGGACAGAGTTCCTACTCCAGTCCTCTGAAGATGCCCGCCAAAGAGACTGGTGATATGTCAGGAAGAACAACCTTCAGAACACGGACAAAGAACCCGAAAAACCCACAACAACCATCAGACCACGGAAGTGAAAGCCTTCGAGAATACATCTCGTCCTCTATCATCCCCTTCTCCTCCTGCCTTCACACTTTGCAAACATCAGGGTCTTTTCCAGAAGAGAATTCTCATGAGATGGCCAAAGTATTGGAGCCTCAGCTTCAGGATCTGTCCTTCCAGTGAGCACTCAGGATTGATTTCCTTCAAAATGGATAGATTTGTTCTTTTTGCGGTACAGCAGACTCTCAAGAGTCTCCTCCAGCACCACAATTCAAAAGCATTCATGCTTCAGCGGTCAGCCTTGTCTATGGTCCAGCTTTCACTTCCATACATCACTACTGGAAAAACCATAGCTTTGACTATCCTGACCATTGTTGGCAAGGTGAGGTCTCTGCTTTTTAAGATGTTGTCTAGGTTTGTCATCGCTTTCCTCCCAAGAAGCAGGCATCTTTTAAGATTTACATTACCTCTCACAGCTATGTACTATCATTTTCTGGACTTTTGCCTACATTTTTTCTACACTATTCAGGGAGGAGTTGTGCTAAGCCTGAAGAAGTACACAAAACCTTGAAATTTGTTTAATTTTTAGTGGTCCATTAAAGGTATCACCCACTTTTATATTTGTGTAAGGAAAAAGGTGAATCTTTGCCAAATAGTAGTAAATACAGAACAGCTATATCTAAGCTTTTGTACATCACACTTACTACCAGACCAGAGACAGAGCTACTGCTTTATGAATACTAACTAGTAAAGTTAGTTTGCCAACACAGAGTGATTTGACAGCTGTAAAATTGGTAGCTGGATATTTGAAAGTGGCCACAGACTTTAAGTTAAGAGTGCCATCTAATTAAAACACAAAGCTTGTACGATATACTGATGCAGATTCAGCACAAAATAGTACAGATTATAAATGTGATTTCCTGTACAAGTATGGTGACGATCCTATGTTGTCGACTAGTAACAAACAAGATGTTTAGTTTTGTCTTCCATACAGTCTGAATTCTCTGTTGCTGCTGAAGCATACAGAGAATTGGAATGACTGGAGAAGCTGCTGAATGACTTTTGGGATAAAGGAAAAGACACCATTCTAGGTGATGGAAGACAACCAGAGCTGCATCAAGCTGTTGCAAAGTGAAAAGATGAATGCAGCCACAGACACATTGTTATGGGATACCACTTGATGCATGACTTGACTCAGGTCTCATCAAGATGGTCTACTGTCCCATCACAGAGGTGATGATGGACGTCCTGACCAAGTCTCTTCTGAGACCACTTCAAGATCTTGCATGGCAAGATGGGTCTTCAAGAGGGCAGCTTCATGTGAGTTTGAGAAAGGATGTTGGAGTTTTTGCAACCTCACATATTGCCTCTAGTATGTTTAGCTGGAAGGGACCTTTCTGAGCTGAGGTGACTATCAATCCACCCAGCACTAATCAATAATTCCTTCCCTGCTTCTGATTCAAAGAGAGTCCTGCCTCTCTGCTCTGCCTTTTCCACTTCAGTAGTCGATTGGAAGCCAGTTAGTTTGTTGAGGCGTATTGCTGGAAGTCAGTCAGCCATATTTGTCAGTTTACTGTTTGATCTGTTCAATTTTAAGTATTAAATGTTATTTTTATACTTTCTTCTACTAATATCTCAGAATGAGTTACTGAGAGTGTTAAGTCCCAGTTGAAAAAGGGGGGTGGACTAATCTAGGGAATTTGAAGCTATTCTGCTCTGTGAATCCATGCGCTTCTGGGAAGATTGAGGAATTTACCAGAAATTCAAAATTCTGCAATATAAATGTGGGTAAAAAGAGAGGTGAGTCAAAGCTAACACAGCCAAGCCATCCTCTGGAAACAATGCTATGAGAATGCAGGATGTGGGTAAAGCAGGAGTACATTATCCAAGATCTGTGAGAAACAAAACTCCCTAATTTCACAGCATACACATTTTTAACAACTTTGTAAGACTGTCACTAGCACGGAGACAGACATGGGCTGCAGAGGAACATGGCTGTGGGAAAACTGAAGATAAGGAACCTGACAGAGGCGAGAGTTCCCTGGGATAAAAAAAGGGGCAAGAGGAAGAAAAACAAAGCAAAGCAACCTGGCAATTTGCATCTTATGTACTACCAGTCTCTTGAGTGAAGTCCACACTTATGGACACATTTCCATACACATTCTTACCTTTTCACAGCTATTTTCTGATGGATTTTTTTTCCTATTCTTCAATACAAATAAAGGTAACCCAAATATGAGCCCAACATATTCTTTCAGAGGGAAGGAAAAATAATATCTTGCCTGCACAGCCCAGAGGTAGTCCAAACGGAGCTTCAAATCCACCTGCCTGGAATGAAGTGCCAGAGCACAGGAAAACAGCAAGATGGCTAATATGGGTTCGTAGCCACGAATATAAAATGAGCCACCCCTTTAAAAAAGAAAGAAATGACAACACATAAGGTTTGACTCTAAAACTCTCCTCAGGATGTATATGAAAATAATAAACCTAGTAATTTTAGCTTTCTAAATACTTGGATTAAAGAGGTCTAGTGTGACTAATTTGTAAGAACATCATATCAAAGTTCTGACATTACAAATTAATTACAAACGGATACTTGTTTCCAATAATAAAACTATAACTACATTACTTTATACCATTACTTAATGTTATTCACTTCTTTTGAGGTAACTTTAACTATCTTTGTTTACTTTACTTTTTTCAAACATTTTTCTGTACAGTCTTGCTAACAGTATAAATTTTTGAATATTATTTTAACGAACATATGTTGGCTGAAATCCTGTTGGTATAAATTTACACCACACAAATTGTGTGATGTCATGATCTACCATGGATATTTTTAAATTAATTACATTTAAAACTTCCCATCTTCCTCTTCAGATTGTGAGACTCCTTAGGGATACATTTTGCTTTTCAGAAGTTTTTGGAACCCTTGGGATGTGGGAAAGCCCTTATTATAGGAAAATCAAAATAGGGGACAGTCCCACAACTGGATCAGGACTGCCTGTAGTGATCTGGCAATGATATTCCAATATTAAAGGCTTAAAGGCTCCCAAAGTCTTCCCAATGGCAAAAAGGATCCCTAGGGAGCCTTTTAACCTAAAAGGGCGAGGGGATAGCAAGGGATGAACATAAGTAATTGCAGGTGCAGATATGAGAGTTTTGGGTTACATATGAAGACTAAGCAATTCAAGGCCACTTTGGTTCTTTCTTCCAAGATCATGTAGGCAGATTAACATGCTTACTCTATCTGTAGAAAAAGGTTGCAGTGAAAGTGTGTTGTTAAAATATGAACACGATACTTAAAGTTTCTCTGTCATGCAATGCACTTACCCCAGTGCTTTCCGATATCCGCTGAGTTCCAAAATGACTATGTACAATATTGTAACAAAAAGCAGGAGGATGATTTTTGGCAAGGAAGAAACACGTAAAAATATTGCCATGGTCAGTGTTCCGACAACACAGGAGAGAAATGCATAATGGGCTGCATCACATGGAAGTTCATTCATTGTCTTATTTATCCCACTGGGAGAAATGATAACTATGGAACTGCTGGAATTAGAATTCCAGACCCAAGGCATACAACCAATCTGGGAGGAAACAGGGAATACAAAATTAAATATAAAGAATAAATCATGCTTATTAGTACAACAGCTCATTTAGGATGGCTTCACACATGCATATCCTTCATTTGATGGTGGAAGTATTAAGTGCCAAACTAGTTGCAACACCAAACTTACACTTGCTGTTGTATTTTCAAAAGTAGTTACTGTGTGTATGTATGCACTGGGCACATGTGTATGATTTTGCTCAGTATCACCAGCTGAGAGAGGAACTTTGTCTTCATATATTTCCATAAATTCTATGTACATGTGCAAAATTGCCATTAATTTTTAGAAGAAAACTTTCATTTGGTATTGATGACAGCTTCCCTCCTAAAGCTAATACCAGTTGTGGGAGCAGGGAGGAGGATCAAGATCATGATCATGGAGAAAAAAAAATCCTCTTTCATCCAGTGTTGAGCTCATGTTCCTCTCACATATAGTACTTGCTACCAAAAAAAATTTAAAACAAGAAACAGAAATAAGGTGGAGCATGGCTCCATCTGGTGACTTTAACGTGAGTCATCAGAGATCCACTGCCACAGACAACAGCTTCATATAAGCATGAATTTTGAATAGAATGTTTTCACAGATTTGCCTGCAAATCACCAAATGTTGCATATTCAGGTTAAGAAAAAAGAACTGATGTACATTCTTCTTGTATTAACTAGTCCATAATCTTTAAAGCCAGTTCCCCAATTTCCCTCATTCATTAACACAGTCACCTTCTCATTAAGTTACAAGCACAGCAGGAGAGGCAGTAGCACCGCAGGATGATGAACTACAGTTACTACTGCTGCTGCATCAGTGTAAAATGGCAAATAAACATCGTATCTTTTTATGCAGTTACAAATATTTAAATATCAGAAAACATTAAAAAAATGCAAGCTAACACATAGTAGGCTATAAGAGAATGCAAACAGAGAAGTGGCAGACATAAAAGAAAGCACTTTCTAATTTTGTACATTGTTGAACCAAAAATTATTATTTTTGCTCTGCAAAGCAACAGATAAAGGAAAGAGTATATGTAATGTACTAGAATAAGTAGTCATATTACACAATAAAGCAAAAAAAATCTGACATGCAATACTGTTGTCACACACTGCGTGTTTTGTATACATATTGTAGCATACATATTGTAGTCTTTTTATGAATAGGTAAATGGATCCTCTGCATTAATGACAGCTTGTGTGTCTGTTGATGAATGAAGTCGCATGCCTCGGTGTCTAGGGAAAAATGTGCATAAGTGCACTAATTGGTTACTTTGCATCTCTGCTCTATGTTTGTGAAATAGATCAGCAAGAGTCTTCCCAATATTTCAAGAAGGCCAATCATTACATTTATCAGAGGATCAGAAATCAAGTAGGAAATTTCCTGTGACTGGTTGACAACACTTACGTATACATTACAGTCAGTTGTTCATGGCAGAAAATCAAGTGGTAAATCTTATCATTGAATTGCACTCTTTCAGGTTAAATCTAGAGAACTGCATAATGAAATGTTCCTCCCAAAATCATGATGCCAGAGAGAAGACTAGGGTGAACCTTTCTTCCTTAGCATGCTATTTTCCTACACTTACAGAATTCCTAATATGGTTTTGCTACATGCATGAACTGGCTGTAGCAGTGATAACAGAAAAGAGAAATAAGATGCAGAATGATTTAGCTAACTCCCCTCCCCTTCTAAGTAAAGACTTTCAATTGCAAAAATGGAAATCTTCAGACTCACCTATTTTTATAGCAAGGTGATTAGACTTAACGAGCTTTTGTCACAGTCCATGACCTGAATTATTGTTTGAGCAAGCCTGAAGCAGATGAATGATACAATATGTCTCTCAATGAATTATATAACAATTGCTTTACAATAATATACTCACCACACAGCCTTGTGCTACTGAGTAAATTAAGATCACAATAAAAATACACAAAATGGTTCGAATTTGTATTGTCAGGCACCCTGGAAAACACTGAAAAAAAGAAATTTTTGAAACGGTTTTAAATCTAGCAGCCCTGAAGTCTTCAAAAACAAGCTATTACAAAATATTCTATAATAACTGGGAAATTGAGTGGTGACCTACTATATAATGACATAATATTGAAAAAAATAGTGATTGCCATGCCTGAATATTTTAGGAAATAATGTTGGTCTTTATGAGAAAGATGTTCTCATAAACAGAGTTAATTATTATTCCCATTTATAAGGATAGCTCCATTTATCCTGTTTTACAAATGAGGCCATTTTGTCCTTCTTGGACAAGAAGTGTGGCTCAATGCCCTTACCTTTAAAAAAAAATGCAAAAATGCTTTTTAACAGAGATTGGGAATTCAATTCCCTACTGTGCATCCTAGAAGAACTAGCCTGGGTGGTCAAGGGCAAGCTGCACAGGTCCAGAAACAGAGATGTAATATTCATATTTGTATGAATATGTCATTCAAGCCTGTATCCAGGTGGCCAGGAAGCCTAGTACTACCTCCCCAAACTGACCTGTCCATCTATGGGTTGCCGCACGGCAGCTGAGCAGGGAGACTTGTCATCCCACCCCCAGCTGGAGTGCAGAAAGGTGGAGAAACACCATCCGGTCTACATCCAAGATTGGTGCAACAAGCAGGACACCAGCTGTGTGTACTGCATGGTGATCAGTAAGTGGACAGGTCAGTTCAGGGAGGCAGGATTGGGCTTCCCAGCCACCTGGGTTTGGGATATTCATATTCATATACAAATACCTATAATATCCTGAATAGTGTGCTATTGAGTCAGAATTTGGAGAAACACCATCCGGTCTACATCCAAGATTGGTGCAACAAGCAGGACACCAGCTGTGTGTACTGCATGGTGATCAGTAAGTGGACAGGTCAGTTCAGGGAGGCAGGATTGGGCTTCCCAGCCACCTGGGTTTGGGATATTCATATTCATATACAAATACCTATAATATCCTGAATAGTGTGCTATTGAGTCAGAATTGACTTAAAAGCAC